CCCCCCCCCCCCCCCGCGCTGCTCAAAGATTCAGCAAGTGCTAGCTGGCATTAGGGAAAAGGGAAACCGTCCCAGCCACAGCCTGGGAGCCCTTCTAGGAGAGGTCTTTGTCATGAGCTCTCGCAGGGCACCCTGGCACCCAGACCCCAGAGCACCTTGGCGTTGAGGGACTCTGGGGACTCCAGCATGAGCAGCAGCTCCGAGTTGTCGATCTCCAGCAGCATGCCTGTGATCTTGCCGGCCAGCTGGGTGTGGGTATCGTAGATAAGGGGGTACAGACGCTCACCTGTACAGAACACCTGGCTGATACCCCAGCAGCCCAGGGGCGGTGGGGAGGGCGGTGGGTGCTGTGGAATGGAGCAGTGAGGCATCTGGGGGCTCGTCCCCGAACTGCTCTTTCCAGGCTGTGTCCCTCAGCTCCACTGGGAGCCTCTTTCCCAACCATAAAGTGCGCAGAACAAACCCTGCTTCGGAGGCTAATTTGAAGAATCAAATTTGATACTCTAGGTGAAGTCACCTACACAGGGTCAGACACAGGCTTGGGGTTTAAGGCCTACTCTTGCTCATCTTGTAAGAAATAGTTCCCATATACACACCAAAATTCTAGACAAGATATGCTAAGGCTGAACTGGACTTCTGAGGGGGGGTAGGGGGAGCCACACACACAAGATAAATTCACCTTCCACCGTCAGGCACTTCTAGTGACAGGGCCTAGCACTGGTGGCCAGCCCCTCTCGGCAATGTGTGGAGGGTCTGGCCAGGCTGGGGTGTTGGGGTGAGAGGTTTTCCCGCGAGGAAAGTGAAGAGGTTTACAGGGAACGGCTAACAGCCTCCTGCCTCCATGAAGCCCATGTAGAATTTCCTTTGAGCAGTGAGAAGTGGCAAAACCCCAGGTGAGCTGAGGAAACAACAGGGTGGTGGCAAAGGGGGTCCTCAGAGTGGCTCTGGACATCTTGGTGGCCACGGAGGGAAGAACCTGCCACCCAGTAGCAAGCCCGTCATTCATTTGACAGTGAGTAGCATCCTTTGGCAGGGCCTGCCGTAGACACTGGGCTGGGGACGAACCGCACAAGGAACTCACAGCCCAGCAGGGAACGTGTGTTTGCCCCCTGCCCCATACACACTTATTTCCCTCCTCCCTGAAGTGGCCACTGGGAGCTAGACGACGTGTGGGGACAGCCTCTTCCCCTTCAGGAGAGGTGAGGAGCTGCGACGCCCACCGGCAGAAACCCAAGACCATACCCTGGCTCCTGGCCCCCGATCTGCCCACAGCTGGGCTCTCTCCAGCCCACTGGGTGCCTGGAACAGCAGAGCTGAAGAAACCTCGGGACCGTCTGGTCTGACCAGTGTTTTAAGAGAGAGACAGAGGCCGAGAGAGCCGAGGCAACCCCAGCAAGGTCATCCAGCAGGTTGGTCCGCAGCAATGCTGGACCTCGTCCACACGTCTGACCTCCACTCAAGGTTTTCCCCCACCAGGCTGGCCCCCTCTCAGCCCCCGCTTCCGGCTGCAGCCACTCACCAATCATCTGCTTTTGCTCGTGCAGCGGCGCCGCGGCCAGCATGGACGCCGTCAGGGGCTCCTGTCCCGGGATGCGCACAGCGGGCTCCTGCACCTGTACACAGTGCCGGGACACGTCCCTTAACCACCACGGACAGGCAAGGCCTCGCCACACTTACCCTGTCAGTGGGGCACAGGCCTCCAGGGAAGCTCTGGAAGAGCGCGGCAGGGGGCAAAGTAGGGACAATGTCCCTCACAAGGGCACAGTGGGCTAGACACACTCTAACTCAGATGCCTTCCACGGTGCCAGGAACCTAGAACGGCCCCCGCCTGAATGCTGCCATAGGAAAGCGTTACTATTCACTTTGTGCCAGATAACGTTCTTTTTATCACGTAGCTTTATGGCCACATCCCCAGCTTACCCCTGACCCTTCCACATTATGGTAACTTCCAGCACATTTTGCCGTTTAAAGATGACACCTGTTCTTTTTGCAAGAAAGAGTTTGAAGTATACGCATTGAAATTCTAGACCGGATAGGATAATGCCGAGTTTGGGACTTGGGCAGGGGGCGGGGAGATAAATACATAGCTTTTTAATCACAACCTTTCAAATATTCAGCGTATTTCTAGAAGATCTTTCCTTGCTGCTCAACGCTGAATACTAAAGAAATCCAGATTAATTTTTCTAATAACCCAGGCAGAGCAAATCATAATTAATAAACCAAATGTGATCTTGGTCCTTTCCCTCCTTCTGTTAGTAAGGGGGATTGTTTCTTGACTGTACACATTAGTAAATGATACTTCACAATTCAAGAAAAGAAAAAAACAAAAACAAAAAACAAGGCCCAGAGAGGGCCAATGCCTCCAATGCCTTAGCCAAGGTTCTGAGCCAAGCCTCCCGGAGCCTGGACTAAGAGGGAAGTCAGGCCAGCCTTACCCCAGGGTTGAGTGCTGCTGAGGAATATTTGTGCGTCAGGAGAGGCCCGCTTGGTGTAGAATATCCCACCCCACTGGCTCCTGTGGTCTGGGTGCCAATGTTGGCTGTAAGAAATAAGCAGGGGTGTTAAGACCTGACAGCGATCTAAAGCCACAAAGCCTAAAGATGAGCATCCATGTAGTAGGCCAGCGCCAACCAGGAGGCCGGCACATAGATGTGCACACACGGCTCCTGCGTACTCGCTACGGTCCGATCTGAGGCTAAGCCCTGGCACATGTGATCTCATTCACCCGCAGGACCAAACAGGAGTGCTATTTTCATCCCTATTTTAAAGATGAGGTGATCAGATAGTTAGCAAGGTCACAGAGTGAGCTGGCCCCGGGAACTGGGCCTGTGGGACTCCGGGGCCCATGAGAACTGCTATGCCACACAGCCTCCAGTCAGCTCTACTCTCCAAGAGGGCCCATGACAAGGTCACCGTGGAAGCCAGTCCTGACTCCCCACCTGTGCCGACCCAGCACCAAGCCCTTGCCCCGCCCTCCTCACACCCCCATTCCTCTTGGCCCTGCCCACACTCACCCACTCTTTGGGTGTGGGGCACCAGGGGTGGCACCTGGGTAGAGGCCTGCCTGACACTGCTGACCTGGGCCGGGGGGCGCCGCAACATGGCTGGTGGCCGGACCACTGAGGCAGCTGGAGGGTAGGTGGCTTGTGGCACAAAGAACATGGACAGAAAAGTTGGCGGGGCAGGACAATCTGGGTGGCCCCCTGCACCCTGAAGGTTCCAGGGTGAGGAAGGGAATGGGAAGGGGGAACCAGAACGTTCTCAGCAAAAAGAGGAGTGAATTCACCGAGTCGGGCAGACCCAGAACTCCAGGGAAGGGGAGTGTGTGGAAATCTACAATTACAAAGCCAACTTGTTTCTACCCAGAGCCCCAGGAGGCATAGGCATCATGATCACGCCCACGGGGCCCCCAAGACACTCTCAAATCAGGGTGAGCGCCCCTCCTAGGGAGGGGCCATCCATCAGCAACACAGTCCCAGGAGTTCATTGTGACGGTCACAGATCAGACCAGTCTTGGGCGCTAACTGAAGAGAATGGCTACACCCGCGAGTCTTTTACAAGTTGGGCACTGCATGGTGCTTCATATACGCCTCGTTCAGAAGAGGAAACTAGAGATGAAGTTACCCACCGAATTAACACCCGGGGGACTAGCAGAGCCAGGCTTGCCCCCAAAGCCGGTGTTCTTAGCCCCGGGTTCCACACTGCCCCGCGGGGCCCACCCCCGCGGGCCAGGCTGAGGGTACCAGGGGCTGAGTCACTCACAGGAGGGTCTCGGAGGCTGGGCCGTCCACCTGGGGGCAGGCTGCATGGTGGGGCCGGAGGCATAGTACGCAGCCTGGGCTGGAGGCTGTGAGGGAGAAGACTGGTAGTCAGGGGCCTGCAGCAGGTGAGAAACCGCATCCCCTCCCAGACACCCCTGAGGGAACGCCACTGCCCTCTCCAGGGACTGGTTAGTGAGGCCCCACAAGCTGGGATGAGGCCCCTGCTGCTCAGCTCAGGCTGTCCATGAGCCCTGAACCCTCCGGGGGAAGGTCTTAGGTTCAATCCTTGACCCTGATCAGAGCTGGCAGCCCAAAAGCGGCACGAGATGGTCACACCTACTCGGACCTGTGCCGGCTGAAGCTACTGCTAAAAGCAGCCGGTCTGCCCATCCCAGTAGCTGCTCATGACCAACACCTTTCTGCTTCCCCTAAGCCCCGTGAGCTCCCTCCGGAACACAGACCTCCAGCAGGGAGGCTGGTCGGCAGCCCACAGACAGGACCGGCTAAGCCGGGGAAATGCTACGCGCTCTCTGCTGGGGTGGGGAAGTGCAAATGCATACCAACACGTTAGGGGAGAGTAATGTGCATAGGCGAGTGTCGTACAGCATAGAAAGCTAGGTCCCTTTTATGTAATGCATTGTTTCCCAAACTTATTTGACCAGAAAGAGTCTCTGAGCAGAACACAAATCTCTCCCTGGGTGGCAAGGGCTGTCTGACAGCAACACGCCTACCCGCCTCTTACAGATGGGGTTAAAACGGCCTGCCTGCCGTTTCCAGCAGAAACACGCTGAGAGCCCACATCTACCTGGGAAGCTGTCGTCCTGCTCTACCCGGCTGTCAGGGAAGGGGTGTAGGCAGGTCATCACCTGGGGCATGGCGGGCAGGAAGTAGCCGGTGGGCTGCTGGAAGGAGCCCAAGAGGGGGCCGCCCAGTGCCCGCACCGTGGACAGACGCTGCATGTACTGGTTGGTCAGGATGGCCTTCCGCTCCTCTTTGCGCTGGGCCAGTGCCACGTACAGTGGCTTGGTGCCCACGATGCGCCCGTTCATCTCGGTCACGGCCTTGGTCGCCTCTTCTGGAGAGGAAAAACACACAAAGCCAAACCCCTTGCTGTGGCCACCCTCTGTCATCACCTAAAAGCAAGACAAGACAAGGGCTGCTGGGGGTGGGGAAGGGAGACTCCTGGGGGCTGTGCTCCCCTCCTCCCCACCCCGCCCCACCGCCCCAGGACCCAGCCCGGCACTGAGCAGGCCCAGAGAAACCGTCTCCCCGACATTGACTGAGGCCCACCGCATGCCAGATAATGGATGCACCTTCTCATATCACGTGTACTGCCACCTGATGGGGGGGCACCTGATGGGGGGCGCCACTCCCACTTCACAGGCGACGGAAGTGGGGCTCAAGAGTGACTTGGCGGAGATCAGGCCACTTGCTAACTGGGGGCTGCTTGCCATTTAATAGGACACTCCCCAGAGTCCATGGGAACCGCTGCATTTCAGGATTTTTACGTTTTCTTTCTGAAATGATTTTCCTAAGCTGTGATGGAAAGCTGGTTTAAACGGAATCTACCTTCATCACATGGGCTATCATGAAGGAAAAGGATAGTTTAGGATTGCTTAAAATCTAAGAACAGGGCGGTGTTCTTTACCTAGAGCCACAATCTTAAACACTCCATTTGAGGTCCCTGTGATGAAAATCTGCATTTCGACTACTCTTTGGTTTTTTTAAACTACCCATACAATTCTTTTGGTTTATTTGGGAATTAAGGAAAGCATAAAGTGTTCTTAAGAGTGAATTTCCTAGAAAGTCCAATTAGATTTGTATGGAATATAAAAATGATTTAAATTTATATTTTTGGTTACTTATTCTATTTTCTTTGTGGTAGAAATAACAGTCCTTACTACAATTAAAAAAAAAAAAAAAGAGCGACTTCTCTAGGGTCACCCAGCCTGTGGACACCCATCAGCCAGGATTCAAACCCAACGCAGTGTTCTGGTAGATGTCCATTGCCTCTCCAAGGCACTGAGCCAAGTTCTTTAGGAGTCTGGGGAAGAGGTTCTTAGCTTTGCTAATAAGATAACTTTTAAATTTTGGAATAACTTTAGATGTACAGAAAAGTTTCAAAAATAGTACAGAGTGGCTATCTTTCAGCCACCTTGCTCCAACGTGAACAGGGTACATGTGTATATTAACATTGGGACGATACTATTATCAGCCACAATGCTATTAACTGAACTGCAGGTCTCATTCAGCTTTCACTAGTTTTTCTAATATTTTTCTCTTCCAGGATCCAATCCACGTTGCATGTATGGTTCGTAATCTTTTCTGGGGTCAAGACACTGGCCTGGCTCACACATTTGGACTTGAACTGACATACTTTTTAAATCTGCTTTATTAGAGCCCATGTTCTACATCATTGGTGTTCAAACTGCACTTTGCTACCCATTCACATGGGGGCCTGGGCCTGAGGGTTCACAGAAACCCCCTCAGGAAGGCCAGGGGATAGAAGTCAGGGGGTCTATGAACTTGGTTGGGGAAAAACATGGCCTCTTTGTTTTCACATTAGCGTTCCCTTCTATTGTGAATACGGACAACAAAAATAGGGGAGTGTTGGCTGTGCTTGGGATTTTTGTCAGGAAGAGAAAGGAAATATTTTCATATCATGTTAATCACTGCTGCCCTCAAAATATCATCTATGCTAACTGCTACCTCCCTAGATCTTATAGTTGAATATAATAACGAAGCACATACTGCTGTCTCCTCCATATTTTGATAATTATGTTTCAATATAATTGTTTCTCTGTAATCCTCTGAATTTTTTTTTTAAAGATTTTATTTATTTATTTATTTGACAGAGAGAGCACAAGCAGGGGGAGCTGTAGGCAGAGGGAGAGGGAGAAGCAGGCTCCCCACTAAGCAGGGAGCCCGACGCGGGGCTCGATCCCAGGACCCTGGGATCATGACCTGAGCCAAAGGCAGACGCTTAACGACTGAGCCACCCAGTCGCCCCTCCTCTGAATTTTCTTTTATGCACTGAAAAATATTCTCAGAAGGGATCCGTAGGCTTTCATAACCCAGATTTTCTTGGCACAAAAGTAATGTCTTAACAAGTTAATAAGAATTCCTGTTAGGTAGTAAATAATGACAAAATACATTTATGCAGCTTTACTATAAACATGATAGTATTTTTAGCACTTTATATGCTTTAACTCATTTTCATTCTCACTGTATTTTATATACAATCGAAATCATAAATACAAACTTACATAAAATCCCCACTTTATAACCTAATCGGTCAATTAACAAGATAGTGCCACAACTCTGAGCAACCCAGATTTTTACAATTCCCTTCCCTCAAGGAGGCCGGTGAATCTCCAGAAATTAGACACCACGTGTGAATAATCAGATCATTTCACTACTTGTTGTGGGCAGGTGCTCTGCATGCAGGCTCCTTAGTGCTCAGGATACCTCGAGAGGCAGGGAATGTTGCTCCCATTTCACAGATGGGTAAACAGACTCCAAAAGGCAGTCACTTCCCTCAGATTCTACAGCTAGTTAATGTAGGACTGGGATTTACACCTAGTTCTAATTAACTTTAACATCCCAGTTTTCAACCACAATACTACACAAAGTATATATTTGCTGGGAAAGAGGGCCCATAGCTTTTTTTATAACGTTTAAGCAAATTTACTGATGCTTATTTACATGTCCCATAGCTCTGTCATTTTTTCAAAGATCTTTAACTCAAAAATTGTTAGAACCTCTGCCCTAAACACCAGGCTTCCTGAAGGACATTTAAAATTGGACTCAACAGGGATGCCTGGGTGGCTCAGTCGGTTAAGCGTCTGCCTTTGGCTCAGGTTGTGATCCCAGGGTCCTGGGATTGAGTCATGCATTGGGCTCCCTGCTCAGCGGGGAGCCTGCTTCTCCCTCTGCCTGCCGCACCCCCTGTGTGTGCTCTGACAAATAAATAAAATCCTTAAAAAAAGATTTAAAAATTTAAACAATGCAATTGGATTCAAAAGGCAAAAGAACTTCTAGACCACTTCCCAAGAACCCAACCATCACATCACATATGGTGGTCTCCAGCCCCATCACTCACACTGATATCTTTGGAAAGTTCCTCCTTCCTCCCTGCAGCTCCCTACCTCCTCACAGTCAAGCCAAATGCTTCTGTCACTGCCACTTCTCGCAGGAAGCCCTCCTTCCTGTTCCCCTGAGCTACCACAGCTCTGCTTCCAATACTCCCACCCCACCCCACAAACACCTTATAATAGATTTGAGTTAGTGATGCATCTGACTTCCCCACTTGATTATAAGCTAGTCAAGGGCAAGAACCACATCTAACTCATTACTATAGGCTTCCTAGAGGTCCTTGTAAGACAGGAGGTGCTTAAGTATGGAATGAATGAACACTGGATTATATGAAAATCATCTGAGGAGCTTTAAAATAAAATGCCCAGGCCCTACTCTGAAATCTTCCATTTGTCTAACTCAGGTGTCTGTCTGTAAGAGCTCCCCGGGGGGGGCGGTTAATAAGCCAGGGGGTTGAGAAACATCCAACGAGCCCAACACTCTCATCGTATAGATGAAGTTCAGAAGACATGGGCTAAAAAGTAGAACAGCCAATCATCACATATCAGGTGCTAAGTGGGCTGGGCACGTGGCAAGTGCTCAGTAAATGGGGAAGAATGAATGACGAATGAAGCAGCCCAACCCTCTCGTTTTCCAAATGGGGAAACTGAGGTCCAGAAGACAAGAGTCAGTGGAAATTCTGAGACATGAATTTCTAGAATCTGGCATACAGCAGGCACTCAATAAATGCTTTTTGAATGAACCAAGTTACAGGGAGCCCCGGTAAGTCCAGCTGTGCGACTGGGACTGGACTTCCACCCTCTTCCCCTCCAGAGCAGACAAGGCTGCAGATGGACATCAAGCTCCAATGGGGGTCAGACACAGCCCCCCAAACCCTAAAAGGAGAGGCTCAGCACCAACTCCTTGGAAGCCACGAGGGAGGGAGGGAGGGAGGGAGGGAGGGGTGTGCAGGCCCCAGGACAGGACGGGCAGGCTCTCTATCCCCTGCAGGTGCCCCTAGTCCTCACCTTAGCACTGGTAATCACTCCATAGGGAGAGAACTCTTTTCTCAGCTTCTCATCATCAATGCAGTCATCCAGGTTCTTAACGTAGAGGTTCACGCCCTAGAAAGAAAGGCTATTGCTTGGTGTGTCCCTTCCCCTCCAAGCCCCAGGTTGCCAGGTGTCAGGGGCCAACGCAGGCCATGGGGGGTCCTGGAAGCCCTGGCCACCCAGCCTCCTGTTTCCAGTCTTGCAGGGCACCCATGCCCCCCAATCACTCAGCGTGCCCATCCCCTGGAAGCTACAGCCACCCCCCGCCCCCACAATCTCTAAAGCCAAGTTCCCAGACGGGGATTGCTGGAGGAAGGCTGCCCATTCAGGGCCCTCCATACACGGACACGCTCACTTAGCAGGAGCTGTCACCAGGGGGCTGTCACCTGGTAACGGGTCAGCCGGTCCTGCTTCATCTGCTCGAACCTGCGCTTCAGCTCATTCTGCCGTTCCACACGCTTCTGGGCCCGGCCCACGTACAGCAGCCGCCCGCTCACCTCCTTCCCATTCATGTCCAGCACAGCCTGGCCAGGGAAGGGAAGAGAGTCCTTGGTAACCCCCACCTCTCCCCGACGCCCCGGTCTCCAGTCCCAGTGCCCGGGCCTGAAGGGGGCCACCTGCAAGCTAGGCCAGCCTCGCTGGCTGAGAATAATTAGAACGAGGATAAAGGCCATTTAAAGTGAATCCACTTTTTGAAAACATGGGACAAAATTTCAGAGTAAACCACAGATTTAAAAAATGTGGAGACACCTGGGTGGCTCAGTCAGTTAAGCGTCTGCCTTCGGCTCAGGTCATGATCCCAGGGTCCTGGGATCCAGTCCCTCATCAGGCTCCTTGCTCAGCAGGGAGCCTGCTTCTCCCTCTGCCCGCCGCTCCCCCTGCTTGTGCTCTCTCTCTCTCTCTCTCTGGCAGATAAAATCTTTAAAAAATAAAATAAAAATAAAAAATTTGATTGGAGCTGTACTTTAAAAAGTGAAATTGAAATAAGCAAACTTCCCATATTTAACATTTAGGTTCTTAACTGTATCTACACCTAAGACTTCCATGTCCTAAACTGTCAGTGGCTTTCTCTTCTCCAAGACATGCAACTTCTCTTAATGCATTTATACTGAACTGAATTTACATGGACTCATCTGCAAAAAATCAGCAAAAGGTAGACTCGTGTGTGTACCCGCTCAAAGGTTAGGATTAGACACTAGCATTAGTGAGGAGAAATGTTTGAAAGGGGACTTTTTTAAGTAAGCTCTATGCCCAAAGTGGGGCTTGAACAAAAGGGAACTGACTTTTTAAGCGGTCAGCTAGTTAGTAAATATTTTCACATAGGGGCGCCTGGGTGGCTCGGTCGGTTAAGTGGTTAAGCATCTGCCTTCAGCTCAGGTCATGATCCCAGGAACCTGGGATCAAGCCCCACATCAGGCTCCCTGCTCAGCAGGGGGTTCTGCTTCTCCCTCTGCCCCTGCTCCCCACTTGTGCTCTCTCTCTCCCTCTCTCTCACTCACTTTAAAAAAAATATTTTCACGGGGAGCCTGGGTGTTAAGCGTCTGCCTTCAGCTCAGTTCATGATCCTGGGGTCCTGAGATCGAGTCCTGCATCGGGCTTCTTGCTCCTTGGGGGAGCCTGCTTCTCCCTCTGTCTCTGCCTCTCTCTCTCTCTCTCTCTCTCTCTCTCATGAATAAATAAAATCTTTTAAAAAAATAAAATATTTTCACATAATAGTGACTTTAGCATCCCCTCCTAAACATGCAAATCCATGTAAACATACTCTCGGGCCCCAATAAAGTTAGTTCCACCTCAGTCTTAAAAGGTCGTTACCTTGGTTTTTTATTCTGTTCCATTGATCTGTGTGTCTATTTTTGTGCCAGTACCATACTACTTTGATGACTACAGTTTTGGATTATTATTCAGCCATAAAAAAGAATGAAAGCTTGCCGTTTCAAGGACATGGATGGAGCTAGAGAGTATAATGCGAAGCAGAATAATCAGAAAAAGATAAATATCCTATGATTTCACTCGTGGAATTTAAGAAACAGATGAGAAAGGGAAAACAAAAAGAGAGGGAGGCAAACCAAGAAACAGACTCTTCACTAGAGAGAACTGATGGTTAGCAGAGGGGAGGAGGGTGAGGGATGGGTGAAATAGGTTAACACAGTGTAATATTAGTTGCAGGTGTACAATATGGTGATTCAACACTTTCATACAATAGCCGGTGCTCATTACAACAAGTGCACTCCTCAATCCCCATCACCTATTTAACAAGAGTTCATTTTTTATAGGTAATATTCCACAATGTAAGTGTGTATACACATACATACACACACACACACCCCACACCTTCTTTATCCATCTGTCAACTGATGGACACTTGGGCTGATTCCATAATTTGGCTATTGTAGGTAATGTGGCTATAAACATCCCGGTGTGTATGGAAGTGCTGAATCACTATACTGTACACCTGAAACTAATATAACACTGTAAAAAAAATGTACACTTACAGAAAATAAATAAAAGTCATTGCCAAAGTCTCTAAGACCTTGGAGTCTATGGATCCCTGAAGCTTCAGCCACCTACTCAACTTGTCATTTTACAGTTGAGAAAACCAAAGCCTAGAGAGAGAGTGGGATTTGTCCAAGGGCACGTAAGAGGTCACCTTTGAAAGGGGCCATTTGCACTTAAGAACAAAGCTTCCAAGTCAGAAAGAGCAGGTTCTAATCTCAGTGATGCCTCTTACCAGCTACACCCTTGGAGCACTTGGTGATAAGTGCCGAGCCCACACTGGTGGGGCACAGAGAAGACAGAGTATGCAGCCCTTAGCACAGCGTCTGGCCCATGCTAAGTGCTCGGGGAGACGTGGCTGCCATCAAGGTGGCACCGGGTCAGATCTCTCTAGCCAGAATCTACAATAAGCTGAGATCCCCCATGTCCAATGGTCTTAATGGGGCAGCAGCCTGGGAAAGAGCTTTAGAGTGGGAAGCCAAATAGGAAAACATTTCTCCAGCTCTGTCATGATATGACCTCGTTCCATTCACTTGTTCAGCCAATAGGTATCTGGTACCCATTGGCAGGTGCAACGCTAGAGATTTAGCTGTGAAACGAGACCCAGTGTCTACCCTCAGTTCTATACATGGAGATCTGTGTTACTGATGGAGAGAGGCAGAAGGGGTACCTCGCCAGAAGCATGAGGTTAGAAGAGGCTTCTCGGAGAAGGGAAAGTATAAGCGGAAACCCACAGGGTAAGCGCTAAGTTGTCTAAAGCCACACTGTCCAATATGGCGGTCACTAGCCACACGTAGCTCTGAGCACTGGAACTATGGCTAGTCTAAGTTCACATGTGCTGGGAGTACCAGATTTCAAAGAATACAAAAAAAGGGGGAATGTAAAAATATCTCAATTTTTATATTGAATATACACTGGAGTGATAATTTCAATATGTTAAGTTGAATGAGACATTATTAAAATCAGTTTGTTTTTTTTTTTTTTACCCTTTTTAATGTGGCTGCTGGAAAATAATGTGGCTCCCATTATATTTCTATTGGACAGCACTAATCTAAGGAGCAAGAGAAGGGAAACATTTTGAGAAACAGCATTTGCAAAGGCCTGGGAGCTAGGAATCACACAACACTTCCCCTCCCCAGCCTCAGTCCCACCATCAATTCAAGAAGAGGGCCGTGGCTATCTCAGAGGCCCTTCCACCTCCCATGTGGGCAAGAATCTACGAAAAGCAGTCGGCCTTAGGGTTTGGAAGCACCCAAAGGAGGCTACAACCTTCTTCTGCCTTTGCCACAGGCAGGAAGGGCCCTGACTGGTGTGGGCCCAGGCTGGGGAGGGACTTTCTTCTCCTCCACGGCAGCTGGAGCCCCCTGAGCCTGATCTTTCTTCCTAGTGCTGGCTTCATGCCTCCTCCATGAAACAGAGCCATGGGGAGGCTCCTACCTTCTGGGCTTCCTCATGCTTCTCAAAGTTGACAAAGCCGAAGCCTCGGGAGTGGCCACTGTCGTCCCTCATCACCTTCACACTCAGCATCTTCCCTGGGAAGGGCCAACCTGGCTCAAAGGGGAGTTTGGGAAGCCCCAGGATGTTCCCCTCCCTCCACCCCCCCACCCCCTGGGGGCTTGAGACTACTTAGTGCTGCCCCCTGCTGACTCCTCAGGAAGCCCCCAGAAAGGCTGCCCCTCCTCCCAGCCCAACCTGGGGATAGAGGACAAAGTGATCCCCGATTCCCTTGGGGAACACACCCACCAAACTGGGAGAAGAGGTCCTGCAGACCCTGCTCGTCCACGTCCACATGGAGGTTCTTCACATAAATGTTGGTAAACTCCATGGCCCGAGCTCCCAGCTCTGCTTCCCGCTCTCGTCGGGACTTGAAGTGGCCGACGAAGCTGTGGACACACTGACGGGGTAGGCAGCTGCCAGCCAGCAGCCACCCCCATCCCACCCGGCAACCCTGGGTCACTGGCGTCAATTGCTGCCAGCCTCCAAGGCCCCTGTATCCCGAATCGGGAGGCTGGGCAGGGCAATACTATTTAGATGGACTACAGTCAAGGCCGGACCACTTCCAACAGCCAAGATTCTACTCTCTTCTCTAAGCATAAGGTTAAGAAGAGTTCATTCTTGAGGCAAAGGCACAGGGAACTCCTACCATACACCAGGCAGCTGAGTATGCAGGAGAGAAGAGCAAGTATGAACTTGAGAGTCATACAGATGAGGGCCTGAATCCTCACGCTGCAGTTGCCTAGTGGTGTGACCCTGGGCAAGTTACTTAACCTCTCTGAGCCTCAGCGTTCATTCCTATAAAAAGGGATGAAGGGCGCCTGGCTGGCTCAGTGGAGCATGCGACTCTTGGTCTCAGGGCTGTAAGTTCAAGCCCCACGTTGGGTGTAGAGATTACTTAAAAAAAAAAAAATACAGGGGCGCCTGGGTGGCGCAGTCGGTTAAGTGTCTGCCTTTGGCTCAGGTCATGATCCCAGAATCCTGGGATCGAGCCCCGCATTGGGATCCCTGCTTAGCGGGGAGTCTGCTTCTCCCTCTGCCCCTCCCCCTGCTCATGCATGCTTGCTCTCTCTCTCTGAAATAAAATCTTTTTAAAAAAATACAAAATAAAATAAAAACTGGGGATGAAACTCTGATCACAGGCATTTGCTTATTCATGTAACAGGTACTGGATGCACCAGGGAAGCAGTGGTGAGAGAACCAGACATGGTCCACGCGAGGGTTACTATAGGGTGGGGGGGGGGGACTGAAGATATTAATTTTCCAAAATCGTAACTTCCAAGTTCATGTAAACACATTTAGGAAAGTATCCTAGATTAAGAAGAAAACATAAGAGGGACACCTGGGTGGCTCAGTTGGTTAAGCATCTGCTTTAGGCTCAGGTCACGATCCTGGGGCCCTGGGATGGAGCCCCGCATTGGGCTCTGTGCTCAGCGGGGAGCCTGCTTCCCCCCCACCCCCGGCTTGTGCTGACAAATAAATAAAATCTTAAAAAAAAAAAAAAGAAAAACGTAAGAAAATTCGATGGCATCTGTAGCATACTCGGCACAAACAAGTGGTAGCGGGCATTAAAAATTACAGAACATGGAGTAGCAAAGGTGAACCTGGGCAAGCCGTAGCTAACAAATATCACGTCCTTCTGAGAACTGGGGAAAGCCCGCCAGGCTTGGTTTCACTGATCAGAGCCTCCGCTGAGACGCTCTGGACAAAGCAACTCTCAGTGCCTCTTCCAGCTCAGAGCCTCCTTCCCTCCCCGGCACTGAGCATGGGGCTGGTCAACAGGGGGGCAGAATCCAAACTGGGGGAGGGGATTCTCGCCAGCATCTGCAGCTCAACTGGCCCACCCGTGAAGCACGGGGGATGTCGAACTTACATGTATGAAGATGGCAGGCTAAGCTTGGGCCTACTTCCCTTCCTGTCCAAAAACCCCATGAAACAACACAAGAGGCTTAAGAAAAAAATTCACAGCCATGCCGAGAAGGCTGGAAAACAGATGAAATCACTGAATCCAGCGGTGATCTGGCCATTAGCTGTTCCTGCGGGAATTTCAAAAGCCCCTCACTTACGACCGACTCGGAGCAATCCTCTTAAGGAATATCAGCAGCCCCATTCTTCCCTGGGGAAAGGGAGCTCCTGAGGGACTGAACTGTTCCGAGGTCACACCGCCAGGAGAGTTCTGGCTGAGGCTCAGTGTCCGGTGCCCAACAGGTGGTGACGGGCAGCCTCCGGCCCCCCACGTCCCACCACTCACACTTTGCGGTCATTCAGCAGCATCCCGTTCATGGTGGCAATGGCCTGCTGCGCAGCCTCATGGGTCTCAAAGTGGACGAAGCCGAAGCCTCGGGAGCCATGATCGTCACACACCACCTGGGCCACAGGGGAGAAGGACGGGGTTGGGCGGCACCCCACAGAGGGTTCAGGTACAGAAGAATGGCAAAGGTAACGAATGACTACTATCTGAGCGCTTACGCTGTGCCCCACACAGGGTCCCTCCACGTTCCACTGCAGCCCGAGCTCTTCCATCCAGATTTAATCATGCTGACTGGGGCCCCACTCTGGGCCAAGCACCTGCTAAGGGGATCACATGCTTATCTTGTCCTACTTGCTATAAGAGCCCCTCCAGGCAATTCTTAACCTCTGAGCCCCCACTGCCTGATGGGGGAAAATGGGAATGAAGGACTAGTCCAAGGTCACTAGCCACCAAAGTTTCTGATTATGATAGCTACCACTTAGAGGGTGCCAGGTGTCCTTTCAATGTCGTGAAGATTACCAGACTTAAAACACATGCACAACAAGCCTATGAGGTAGGTTCTACCACGGCCCCCTTTTAGAGGAAGCCGAGGTATGGAGAGGTTATTCAGCTGGTCCAAGGTCACAGTGCCAGGAAGTGGAAGGGGCGGGATTTGAACCCCACACAGTCAGCACCAAAGTCCAAGATCTGACCAACTGTGTTGTGCTGACTTCTCAGCAGCTGGCCGGACTCCACGGGTTTAGTGCTCTTCCCACCGCGCTACAGAAACCTTTCCAGGGCAGCCCCGTGGAACTGGTTTCTATCCTGAGCCTCTGACTACACGGCTCACTAGGCTTCTCTCACAGAGCCCAATTTCCAGCTTTTCCTAAAAGTCTCACTGTCTCCAACCATCCTGAGAGCTCCCAGGGTAGGCCCCATACCGTGTGCCTTGCATCTACCCTGGCCCACCACCACAGTGGGTCCTCATTAGGCCTCAGAGACTCGCCCGGGTCACGTCCAGCTTTCTGACCAATCCTCAGTGGCCCAGAGGAAGCCCCGAGGCTTGACCGCCCTGATGGCCTTAATTAGCAGCCTTCCGGTACCCATGCCCTTTATCCTGTCGTGTCTACAGTCCTCTCTCTCTCTCTCTCTGAATTTGGACTGGTCTTACGACTTGCTTTGGCCAACAGAATGCAGTGGAAGGAAAGGCGGGCCAGTTCTGAGCTTACATCTCAAGAGGCCTGGTAAGCTTCCAGTCTCCTGGGACACTGCCCTTGTCATGAGACTAGCCTGGGCTAGCCCACTGGAGGAGGAAAGACCACAGGGAGAGAGCCGAGGTGCTCCAGCTGACAGCCAGCCACCCTCTAGAAGCAGAGCCAGTCAGCTTACAGCGGGCATAAGAAGGAGCCAGCTAAGAGCAGAAGTGCCCAGCTGAACACAGCCCAGATGGCCAACTGCAGAATTATGAGCTAAAGAAAGGGCTGGTTGTTGACAGCTCAGCAAGGTGTGAAGCGGGGTGCTGCTTGGGATCCTTCTGCCACGTGGGTATTTGACACAGACCCTCCCCTGCAAGGACACACACCCACCTTGCAAGAGAGGATGTTCCCAAAGGTGGAGAAGGTGTCATATAAGGCCTTGTTGTCAATGGAGTCCTCCAGGTTCTTGATGAAGATGTTGCCCACACCTGACCTGCGGAGTCCTGGGTCTCGCTGGGACCACATGATGCGGACAGCCTGGCCTTTGATCACTTCAAAGTTCATTGTGTCCAGTGCCCGCTCCGCTGGACCGGGGAGGGGGTGAGAGAAGGAGAAAAAGGAGCAAGTAAGGGTATTTCTTTCCCTGAGCCCCGAGGTGCTTCACTGGAAGCAAAGGAGGGGGAAAAAAAAAAAAAGGCTCACTGTCTGGGTTTCACTTGAGAGAAGAACCTGGAGCCTCAGGAGAGACACGCAGAAAGAATTAATGTGCGGGACGCTCCTCCCACCTTCCCATTGGGGTCTCATTCAGCTCCTTGCAAGAGCCGCGTGAGCATGGATTGCTATCCCCACTTCACAGAGGGAAAACAGAGGCTCGGAAAGGGGGAGGGTCAGTGGTGGAGCAAGGTCTACTGCGCTTTTCGAAGGCACACGGAATAGACGAAAACGTAGAGGACGGCCCATAAGACAAAGAGCGGCAGCAGTGAGGGGAAATCAGAGCTCAGAGGTACTGAGGGGCAGAGTTGAGACTCAATCCCAAGTCATAGGGCTCTGGGGGAGAACACCTGTCTGAGCTTCTTTCACCTGTGAAGTGGGGATGAGGAGACAATTACCCCCTTTCCACATCCAACAAAGGGGGATAATACTATCTACCTCCAGGGGGTCAGACAGGTTGAAAATTAAACAAGATACACAAGGTGCCTCACACTTTGTGCCTGGCACAAAACAGGAGTTTGGTAAACGGTAGTGTGTTTGAAAACAGCAGGCTACGCCCGTCCTCCTGCCCCTGCTAGAGCCTGTTCCCTCCCAGCTAAGAGGCAAAATCCTTTCTCTTCCCTGGAGCTCCATTTATCTCATCTGTGAAGTCTGGCAGAAAGGTCAGAGCGTGCAGGGCTTGGAGGAAGAGGTTAGAGGCAGTGGTGGGTAAAGCAGAGCAAAGGAGAAGGCTCTCGAATCCAGCTCAGTCACCTGCTGAGAAACAGGCAGAACCACCCCGGCAAACCCTCGTTGGGGAAACCTTCCCACCAACCCAGGGTGTTTTACCATGCACCAAAGGGTACCAGAAATACTTCACTGACATAGCTCACACCTTCTGTGCTATTTATTGGGGAACAAGCCTTAGCCCCTTTTCACACACGGAGAGGTGTGGAGTCTCGTGAACTCTTGCTCAAATTCACACCCTGAAGAAAGCAGAGCTTTCGGAAAACCCAGTGCTCTCTTTATCCTCTCCACTGTCAAAGAGAGTGTGGCCATAACCACCTGAGCAACCCTAACCAATCCTATCAGCTCGGAGAAACCGGTTTTGGGGCCTGGAGTGGAGACCAGATCTGGTGCAAACTCAGATCTCGCAGCTGGAAAAGGTGCAAGCCCACGGCCCGGCTCTCCTGGCTTCCCCACTCATCACCTGCATCCTCACCAGGTGCTTCGACTTTCTCATCCTCCCAACTACTCTATAAAAGCAGGTACGCTCCCCATTTTTCAGACAGGCAACTGAAACTCAGAATGGCTGAGTGATTGCTCAAAGTCACACAGCTGCCGCCTTGCTAATCCAAGGTCGGCCCAACCCCAAAGCCCTTGGTTGGCTGTTTTCACTCAGCCTTAATATTTGTCCTCTGTAAGACGGAGCACCAGTAAAACACACAGTAGGCGCACACTAATTGCCCGTTCCCGTCTCAGGGGTAGGGCCCCTTCCAACGCCCTCTGGGCCTGTTTCCCTGGCTGCAAAACGAGCCGGAGATGCCAGAGCAGGCCCCGAGCTGCTGTCGGTCGGCCCGGGGGACCGGGTGTCCGTGCGTCCGTCCCCCCTCCCCCGGGCTCACCGTCGGCGGGCTGCTGGAAGTTGACGTAGGCGTAGCCCAGCGAGCGGCGGGTGGCCACGTCGCGGCACACGCGAATGGACAGGATGGGGCCGGCGGGCGAGAACTTCTCGTACAGCATGGCCTCGGTCACGTCGGGGTGCAGGTCGCCCACGTAGAGCGAGGCAAGCGGGTAGCCCGGGCCGCTGGCGTTCATGGTGCTCGCCGAGACGCTGCGGCGGGGCTCTCCTCCCGAGCGGCCGCCCCTCCCTTTAGCCCCCGCCCCGCCCCGCGCCCCACCTGGGACCCCTCAGCGCTCCAGGAGCCCCAGGTGAGGCCTCTGGGACCCCGCCTCCAGAGGCGGGGCGCGCCCTCAACCCCGCGGGGGGTCGGGCTGCGGGGACGCGGGTCAGGGACGGCCCAAGACTTGTTCCAGTCCCGAAGGACATTGCCTTCTGGGCCTCTGGGTCCATTTCCCTTCATAGTAAAACCGCGACGGCGCTCTGCTCAGGGATCAGAGGGCACCCGGTGCATTCTGGGCGTCTCACAGGCGAAGAGAATCCCGAGCCGGACACACAGTTTCAAAGCTCGTGCCCCTTGCCTCCTGAGAGGAGCCTTTTTCTCAACATAGCCCAAATCCAGTACCCGCTCTGGAACCGGCCTTATGACCTGGGACTGACTGCTTCACTTGAGAATTCGAGACCAAGGCCTTCCTTGACATTAGCTCTCATATCCCCAAGGCATATTCCTGGCCCACTTTTTTTTTTTGGAGAGAGGCGGGGAGGGGGCAGAGGATTGAGAGAGAATCCTAAGCAGGCTCCACGCTCAGTGTGGAGCCCAACACAGGGCTCTATCCCACAACCCTGAGATCATGACTTGAGAGGACATCAGAGTCGGATTCCTGACCCATTGAGCCACCCAGGCGACCCCCACCCCACCTTTCTTTTGACTAAGCCATTCCACCTGCATTCCATCAGGAAGCTTCACTGTTACTCTGTGGGGACAGAAGGCACCTGACAGTACAAGGCTGTGGCAGTAGCCCCAAGGTGCGCTTGCAGCCTCAACCTACCGGTGGTGTGGAGACACTTAAAAGAAAATTGCATTGCACTGCGGGCCAGTCGTACTTCCCAATATTTCCTCTTGCCCCTCACAGGGACTCTCCCGGTTCCCTACTGCAACGAAGCAAGCAGGCTCCCATTGACCTTGCTTGAGTGTGGTTTCCACAGGCGGAAGAGCTCTGAACTAGTCTGGTTGCTCAGCATACATGCAGTAGCAAGCAAGCGCCAGACTTAATTCTAATCTTGGGCTGAAAAATAACCCTCATTTCTTCCCTCTCCTTACGGGGGTGTGGAAGTTTTTAGAAAGGGGACAAATGCCATGAGGAAACAGTGCTGTGGGCTCCCAGAAAGTGTTAGGACAGAGGACAGTCTGGTAGAACCCTGGGGATGACCAAGCCTTATGCAAGCATCTCTCACAGGCTTGGTTACACCTCAGGGTTAAGAAAGTGTGTGTGTGTATCTTGAATGGGATGCAAAATAACTGTTCGTAGCACATCTTCGAAGCTACAAAAGAGGACCTAACACCTGGATGGTCTGTTGTGGAGTATGGAGAAGCATCCCCTAATAGGTGGAGAGTGGCTGTTTATTAATGGTAGTTTCTTCCCCTTTACAACAGCTTGACTTCTGGCTCTAAATAGGGATGAAATAAAGATGTTCCCTACTTTTAAAGAAAGAGTAGAGCCACGAGTGAGTGTGACTAGAAGAGGTAGCTAGTCCTGGCAGTGACAGAGATGGCGCCATACATCAGTTCACAGGCAACTGATAAAATTTTTTATTTCACTTTTGAATTTTTACACTTTTCCTGATTATTCCGTGTTAAGGTGGAAACTAGAACTGTTTAAAAGACATACACAAATCTAGTACATCAATAACCGGGGATTTTTCTTTTTCTTTTTTTTTTTTGCTATACTATTTTCACAACCACAGGAGTGCTTGCTAGGCAATATAACCGTCACAGAAGCAAACGTGAGGCAGAATACTGGTAAGGGAAAACGGAAGCAAGAGAGAGCTACCAGATATACAGACAGGCTCGTTCCACATTCACTACTGCATTTTCAAGCGCCAAGTATTAACTGCACATTTTTGTTCAGCTAGAAAGGGGGGGAGGGATTTTTTTTCTTTTTTCTTTTTTTTTTTGGTTTTAAATCAGTGCATGAATATTTCTTTTCTCGTTTCAGCAGATGGACAAACAGGTGGACACTACAGCTACGTGGAATGTTCAAGGGAGGGGGGTACTGTGAGACTGGTAAGCCTGGCTATTCTGGACTCTCCCCACTGTGGTGTTCATGCCACTTCCCTGCATTATAGGGTCGTGTTCAAACAGGTCTGTGAACTTGGCTGGAGGAGCCCACTCGGGAGATCTGGTGACAGGTACTAACAAGCGTTATCAGGGCTGGCTGCAACACAGGGAGAAATCATGGGTATTTAAAAACACTTTTTTGATTCAATCTCGGTCTGACTGAAGAGCAACAAGCGTGCTGAGAACCGGAGGAAGCCAGAGCTGTGTGCTGGAAGCTCTTCTCAACTCTGAAGCGAGGCCTGCTGACCAAAGTGCTCACCATCTTTGCTCACTCCCTTCAGGCCCCCACCCTGCCCAAACAGTATTAAACAAAGAACAGAAGACAACGACAGAATTCAAAAAGAAAAAAATGTAAGGAACAAGACAGAAACCTAAAGAGGGAAAAGAAAAACCAAAGTCAACAGTCAAAAAGGACAGTGGGAAGAATGTTTGATTTCAAAATTTAAAAGCCCCAAGCTAGGAAGCACCCAAAGACTGAGTACTTCTTAAGTGAAAGGCAATCTCTGCAGAACATGACTCTTAAAGGTATTACCCAGGAAAACAGATAAGGCCATTCATAAGATACACGGCTTTTTTCTTCTTCAGGTCCTGGTTACAAGGAAAACAGATTCCACTACTGGAGCACAAGTTGCAAATCAGTAAGATGGCTGTGGGAAAGGGGTGTCAGTCACGTGTTCTAGGAACACTGGACCTTTTCATGGTGTCAAAACCCAATTATCTGCCAGAAAGAGTTTCCATTTCAGGCTTCGAGTTTACGCAGAGGAAGACACTGTGGACATCTGCAGTCATGAACTTTCGAGTGGCAACAGCCCAAACTGGCCAAGTGTCTGTAATCCCCAAAAAACAGGCAGAACTACTGTGAGTTGCTGTCACATTTGAATGTCACAGGACGGGTGTCTCACTCCACGTCCCAATATAATCTCTATAACTTTCTGTACAACTTTACAATGGAACTGTTATCTCAGTGACTAGTTTGATATCAGATTAAACTTTCCAAAAAGTTACACATAATTCAGGTCTAGTTTTTCTACCAGTAAGAGTTCTGCTAAGTTACAAAACCCCATAATCACAGTGTTCAGTTTTAAAAAAATTCAACACACAGTAATCCTATCAGTGTTAATCAAAATCAAAATTTCAGAATGCCGTGGCATTTATGTGACCAATCTGAGTTTCAGATACAAACACCAGCTGTTTATCCCATGGACCATTTTGCTAGGCTGAGGCTGTGAAAAATTGAAAGTCGACGTACGACTCTTTTTTTTTTTTTTTTTTTTATCGCACAAAGGGATATATGTGGAGGGTACAGAGTGACATTGAACAGATCACGAAGCACAACAGACATTAGTTCTCTCCCTCCCCAGCATCTCCTTCATCTCCCTGGTTTTCCGACGTCCACAGCTGCAAGAGAAAAACAGAGCTCTAATCAAAACAGGGCTCCTAAAATGCACTCAGGGAGGAAGGCCCAGTCTGGACCACCTTATCTCACTTAACTGCTTCAAATTCTTACTGTCTTACTGCAGGCCGCAAGAACTGCGAAGGCCAAAACTTTAGCAGTCATTTACAACCAATTTAACAATTTAGTACATTTAACTCTACTTACAGGGTACAAATCCCCTCAAGTCTTAGGCAATAATGAATTCTTAGGTCGGTGATAGGAACAAGACTCTAAACTCTCCCCAAAGCAGTGTTGTAAACCAGCAGTACTTACTGTGAGATTGTCCCTAAGCAACTGCATGATCAGGGTGCTGTCTTTGTAAGACTCTTCATTCAGGGTATCCAATTCAGCAATTGCTTCATCAAATGCCTACAACAAAGAGCCTTTAGCTGACTGTCACAGGTTCTCTCGAGCTAGTTTAGCCCAATTTTTTTCTGTTAACAAATGAATATACTTTCTTTTCCTGTACATTTCTTTGGGGGAACTGAGGCTATTATTAATGACCTTGTTTGCTAGTTGTTTCAACAAACAGATAATGCATGTTTATAAAGCACCAACCAACAATGACAAAAAATTCCCAGAGAAGAACTTCACTGTATGTGATAAGATAGCAGGTATTACTGTCAACCCAGCACAAATCCACATAATTTTTTAATTGCCAAAGATACTTCTGGTAATCCTTTTCTTTCTTTACTAAAACTCAAAAGGTCTGGATACAAGGAACAAAGGGAAAACAGAAGTTCACACCACTAAATCTGATTCAATTAAGTGACAGACCTTAGAGAATTCATTTCACGTACTTTTTCCAAAATAAAAAAAAAATTTAAATAACACTGTGCATGCTGAAAGACTAAAAAATATGTAGAAAAGGCGGCTGAATTAATAGAAGATAGGAGGTAACCCAGCACAAAGAAAACCTGGTCTGAGTTCTTTCGTACAGCTGTAACTTCAAATCTCAGTACAAGGACTACAATACATAATGGAGGCCTACAGAGCCCAAAGCTTGACAAGAAATAACACACTACCTTCCCCCTGAATTTTCCACAACGACCCCCAAACCAGTAATTACACAACGAAAACAAAAATCAGCAGGAGATGTTGAGAAGAAATCAAAAAGTGATAGGTCTGTATTTATGTCACAAAAGATCTACTCCTCTCTCCAGAACATCTTCAGAGAGGTCTAGGACAATGAGTTGTTAAATTCAGGCAATAAAAAGAAGTTATTAAAAAAAAAAAAACCACCACACACACACAAGCAGTGTTTTACTACAATCAGAAACCACAGAGGGTCTTTCTCACCGTTTTTGCCAGGCTGCAAGCCTTTTCAGGAGAGTTTAGAATCTCATAGTAGAAGACTGAGAAATTCAGTGCCAGGCCAAGTCGAATTGGGTGTGTAGGCTGCATTTCTTTCTTACTAATTTCAAATGC